GCAGGTGCAGCACTTGGTGAACCTCGAAGTGCAGATTTCGTGGCAGGCACAGCGCTTGGTGAACCTCGAAGTGTAGATTTCGTGGCAGGCGCAGTACTTGGTGAACCTCGAAGTGCAGATTTCGTAGCAGGTGCAGCACTTGGTGAACCTCGAAGTGCAGATTTCGTGGCAGGCACAGCGCTTGGTGAACCTCGAAGTGTAGATTTCGTGGCAGGCGCAGTACTTGGTGAACCTCGAAGTGCAGATTTCGTAGCAGGTGCAGCACTTGGTGAACCTCGAAGTGCAGATTTCGTGGCAGGCACAGCACTTGGTGAACCTCGAAGTGTAGATTTCGTGGCAGGTGCAGTACTTTGTGAACCTTGAAGTGCAGATTTCGTGGCAGGCGCAGTACTTTGCTCTCAGATGCTCACTCTCACTCTCTCACTCTCACTCTCACTCTCACTCTCACCCTCACTCTCACCCACTCACACACGCCCACACTCACACTCAACTCACACTCACATTCACACTCACTCAATGAAAAGCCACTGCATGCACAGTGCCAGACCGACTACGCCGTTATGGGCTGCTTGCATGACGCCATCGTTGCGGACAGGGAAAAAAGGGGGTCGGCAGGGCATGTGCGAAGGGACACTCTCAAAAGGTCAAATGGTTTTTATTGGAAACATCCGCCACCGGCTTGCCCGGGAACTGCTTGTACTTAAATCGATGTTTATTATCTTTGGAAGTAGGGAACGCCCACAAAGCTGCTTCAGCCCCAGCAGAGACTTTGCCCCCTCGTTGTCCGTCCCGTGCCGGTTGTCTCAAGGCTTCAGGGTGGCGGCGATTATGGATTGGATGTGGAAGGTGCATCCAAGCTCGCCTTGGCAGCGTGTGCCGAATCGGCCCGATAGTTCTGAGTCTGAGCCTAGTGACAAAGAGGGGGCACCAAACAGACGTGCGAGGGACGAAGGGGGGGCGGCCAGCGCAGCGGCTCATGAAGGTAGTGGACTTCCCGAAAGCAGGGCAGGTAAGCTTTCAAAAGAGCATGGTTGGAGCTTCTGCTCCTTGGACCATGTTGGCGGCTTTGGGTTTCTGCCCTTCATTGGCTCTCACACCCACGACGGACCCTGGACGGACTTGGAGATGGGTTTGGTGGCGACGGTCCGCAGAGAAGTTGCTCAAGGCATTAATAGATTTGTTGGCCGAAGATTAAGACATTGAAGGCAGCATTTTCCCTCCCCCCATCAGCGGGTTGCCATTGCCATCACTGTTCCAGGCATTCTGAGAGGCGAATGAAATGAGCAATTCCGCAGACATCAAAACTGCTTGATACTTGTAGGTTGTATCCAAGTTCGCGCAACATGTTTCTTTATATAAAGGAGGCCAAACACAGCCTGTAGTCCATGTCGTAACCCCACTGTCGAGCTGCTAGCCTGTGCCTACAAGTGTCAAACCCAGCAAATGCCCTGGGTCTCCAGACACTCCCATTTCAGACCGCTTTGCATCGCTGTTTGGACGCTGTTTGGGCGCCAAAAGCGGGCGCCTACGCAGCCTGCGACCGCAGATGGAGGTGAGGTGTCTGATGCCGTGCACGGGGGACCCTTTGGGGGTGGATGTTGAGCCCCCACAGCTCCTCCCGTCCACGCGCAGCTAGCTTCCGTGGCTGGTGCTACGTAGCAAGTGGCCCATGTTTGGTGGCTTGGATGTGTATGTCCGTTCAACGTAGACGGACTTATGCACCGTTCAACTTTGGAATGAAGACTGTCAGCTGCTGTTATCCCAGATTCTACTGATCACATACTTCAGGATGATCTTGTCCAAGGCATTCTACAAACATAAACCTAGACAAGGACCTGACTTCAATGCCATCAATGACTGCCTGAAACTAAAGCCATTAAAGATCGACTATGTTTGTTTGGGGGCTCTCTTTTTACACCTGTGTAGAGCCAGAAAACGCGCCAGCTGGGTCGGGTCACGACGCGACCGCGCGTGACGGGTCACGACCAGGCTTCGACGAAGCCAGTGATCAGGTGGACCGGATGGACTCTGCGGAAGATCGCTTGGGGCGAATCGTTTTGGAGAAGAACTGCCGAACTGATCAAGAGCAAGGATGCTACGAACGGGGCTCCTGGCATCGCTACTAGTTACTAGTAACAAGAAGCGACTAGGGTTAGCTACTAGGGGCTCCTGGCCATGCTACTAGGAGCAAGAAGCTACTAGGAGCCTGGATGGATCCACCCAAGATTAGGTGTTCTTTTTCAGTGCCCAGCCTGAAAACATGTGATGATGGTAACTGCTCCGAGCCATGAAGCCAGGATATCTTTCTCGGGGATTGCCATCAACATTTTATTTGGTGCCTCAGTTTTGATCACCTGAATCATGAGTCGGGGAACCAACAGCTTCTCCTTGCAAGATTACATCATTTGAGAGCACACACAACCTGACCCTTTCCCCAACCTGCCGTGCCAGCTTTTTGCAGGGGCCGAAGAGGCGCGACAGACAAGGGGGGTAGTTGGGACGCGTTCAACAAGAAAACTTGTTTCCGTGAGCAAACCAAGCAAACAACCACGCAAGGCTGATCCTGTTCACATGTCGATCCTGGGCCTTTGTCAATGCAGGGTATGTTCATATAGAAGCCTGCTTCGCGCCCTTCTCAACCCGGTGATGAGATGAAACACATGAGCCGCAATCTTGGTAAAGCAGAATAGAGTTCGATGGCCGACTGGGAAGTGGAAGTCGCTTCCCCTGCTCAGATGATGGTGGCCTCTGCCGAGAGGAGCGGCTCTTGTTGGCAGAGGGTCATGTTTACCACCAGGGTAGATCTTTTTGTGCAAAGCTCCCCGGTTGAATTCTGCTACCGACTATATGCTTGAGGATTTAACCAGGATTGGAGTGCGTGGGTCGAGTTGCAATTCAATGATGCTTTTCCAGGGGAGCTGAAATTGGCTGCTGTTGCGCACCGCACTGCGCGAGCTGCATGCAGGGCAGGGAATACGCCCAGTGTTTTCTTTAGTCTTTAGTCAATGCAAACGTCTTGCTTCATCATCTTTGTATGATTCAGGACATAATTTTGTTGAAAACCGGCAGTACCCCTGACCCCCGCATGCAAGGTATTTGTGGGACAAACTGCACAGTTGGTTGCAGAGACCACCTGAGTTGGGTGGACCCAACTGTCGTTCACAGCAGATTTTGCATGATTTGGGTGTGGAGACCTCCCAAAGACCTCCTGGAAGAAGGAGAATGACCAAAACCCGGGTGGGTGGCGCGACTTGCGGACGTCTGAACCAGCGCCTTGCGGACGTCCGAAGGAGCGGAGCTCCCGAAAACCAGCCCTGAAAACCGTGGCATGACGGTGGGTACTGGGGGAGTTGAACGTGTATTACTCTCTGGAAGTGGTAATCTGAACACCTGTACAAATGAATGGTATGTACACTGCTGAATTGGGTGTCTCCCTTTTGAAACACACACCCACTGGCTTGATTTCATTTATATATGTATTATGACGTCCATCCCCGGCATCCCCAAAGGCAGGTTTTGGTCCCTCCTCTCCAGACGCCGCAGGATTTCACCTTTGGCAGCCTTCTGGGGGAGGTGCTTGGGCAGTTGATCAACCTATCTTCCAAGAGATCAGTCAGCCAGTGGATCAGTCAGCCTAGTGATTGATTTGTCCATCAGAGATCAGTTGATAGATCCATCAGGTCAGTTACAGGTGCCTTGTTCTCCGCACGTCTTGGGTAGGGTTGCAGGCTTCGGGCATGCCGCCCCTTTCGAACCGGGGTGAGCACGGTGAGGGTAGACCAATTCGACGAGGAACAAGAGGCCGAACGAAAGCCCCTGGCAGAAGTGATTCTTTGGCCCAAGTAGATCCCCATCAGCAGAGATTCGCACTGAACCACTGGTTGGCGAAATCGCCAAGCAAAATCAACTGCGCTGTAGCGGCGAGGTATCCCCACATTTGCTGGTTTTGACCCTGCCCAATGAAGAGGTTAAACAAGCTGTCAAGCCAGGACCAGCAGCACACAGGAGCTTCCAGACAAGCAAAACTCCGGTCCTTCAGCTTGTTTGGGAAAAAGGGCAGCAATCCATGAGGGTTTACACTGAAATCATGGAAGTGGATGGCACCATCTCGGTCTTGGTCTTCGGATAAGGATGATCATCCTGGCAGGGCAGATCCTTTCCTTCCATGACTTCCACTTCCATGATTCATTTCAGGGAGGGACGGTGTACCCCCCCCGCAAACGGACCAGGAACCTGAGAATTCACCGATAGAAGACCATATTCCCAGTGGTTTTGGGGTTCCATCTTCATTTGCAGGGGTGTGTTTTGGAGCCCCTCCCTCGATCAAGGGAGGCCCACCTGACGCTGTCAGGGTGCTTTCGCACGAGTCCTTGCAGCACGCCATCGATCGGGAGGCGGACCGTGGCGAGACCGGTGGGTCAAAGGGACCGGGACCGACTCGGGGATCGTTTGGCTGAAAGTGTGAAGCCAAACAGAAGGATCTTTCTGCCAGGGCAGTCCTTTTTGGGCTCACTCTTGGACACAGTTGTGCGTTTTTTTTTTTTGTTTTTTTCTCGCTTTCTTTGTAGTGTCACATTTAGATAGCAAAGAGCCTGCGTATCGAAAGACATGGTCCTTGAGTTGGAGGTTCCAACGCGAACGTCGCTCCTTTTTGCAGGCCTTGCAGGGCCTCCACCAGGCCTCCAAAACAGCGGCTGTCTGTCTCCTCCGGGTGGTCTGCTTGGCCCACACCACTGGGGTTTTGCCCAGTGGGCGCCGGTGTGTGTGACCGAGACCTAGGTGAGTATGCCATCAAGATGGTGGACAAGAAGATGGTGCAGGATCGGAGATGGGAAGTGAGAGCGACTGGGTTGTCCGAGTCTGAAAAACCAGGCAAGAAAGGCAGTTCTAGATACGGTCGCGGAAGTCTTCTTTTGGAATCCACTTGTGCTGGTTTCCACTTCTTTCAAGTGTTTGATCAGTCGCCCCCAATCCTGGCTTCTTTGTGTGTTGATGCTATCTTGCCAAACATTCAGGGGCTTAAACCTTAGAAAGGACTTGTATTTCCTGCGATACCAAGTTCGGTCACAGTCAAAGCAGATTGCCCAGTTCATCAACAGAAGGGTCTTTCGGCGACCTCAAACAGGTCTTTCCTTGACTTCGTTGGACACCAGAACAGTCATTTGGACTGGTCCTCCGTCGACTGCGGAGGCTTCCGACCTCTGCCCCATAAAGACCGCTCGGGACGGACGGAGCCGGCTCTGTCCGAGGGATGGAGCCTGTCGACGACCCGGGACGGCCCTGTCGACGACCCGAGCTGGTCAGGTCCGGGACCGCAGCAAAGGGGTGCTGACGGAGCGGCAGATGCTCCTAGAGCTGGAACACCCTGGGATCGCCACGGCCTCAACGACGGAGCCCACGGCCTAAACGGCCTAAACGGCCTAAACGGCTTTGGTGCGGCGTGAAGCACCGGTGTTTGGGGGGATGTAAGTGGCCCAGAAGTTCGGGACATCCCAAGTTTGGCTCAAGATGTTGTGATGCAAGCTCCAGACTCCAGCTTGTCAATTTCCTTTGCACGTGAAGATTTGGGACCACAGTCGGTGCGGCAGATCGACCGTCAACCATCCCGTGGACTGAAGACCATGACGATCTCATGTTGGAAGCATCTACAGCATATATACCCAAGCCCCTTTTGCAGAGTGTCATCATGATCATTGCTACTTCATCCTCATTCTTTGCAAACCCCCCACTCGGACCTGCAGATGTCTAGCACTCTTGACTATTTTTTCACGCATCAAGAGTGACGGCCAATCACCAAAAAAAGCAGACCTACTACTGGCGCGGCGTGACGGTGTCCCCATCCTCACAAAAAGCAGACGATGGACGCACTCCGAACCTCTCTCCCTTCCTCCCTGAGGTTCGCCTGCATTTTGCCTTCCAGGAGGGGG